AGTGGCGTATGGAATCTACGAGTGGTTTAGTTCCCAGTAAAACACTCTTCTCCATATAATAAAATAGGGTATTATTTGCCAGTAGAGTGGCCAATGTTTGGGTTCTTTACCAGGGGTTCTATAACAGAAACTGGAACTCAGAAGTGATGTTGTAAAGTACCAGTATTGGTTTAGTTAGCGTATGTTGGACTGTGATAGTTATAAAGTTCCTGCATGAAAAATAGCTAGTCTGGGATAGGATAGGGGTTTTTGGTGTCTAGTCAAGAAGAGTGTTGCAAAATCAAGCTGATCAAAGTATAGTATAGGGTAACGGTTTCAGTGTTCCATCAGCACACCCCTACCCAATGATTTACAGTGTACTCCCAGGGATAATAGAGCTTACCACACGTGCATGCTGACAGACACAGCACTAGAAATGATCTTAACATAGCAGCTAACTTGACTTGCATATTAAACTTGAAAACATTTGAACCCAAACATCAGCACCCGAGTACTGTTTACCTGTCCTTTCTATGGCAATTTTAAACTCTTAAAGTGATCTGGTCTTAAAATTCACTAGCCTATGATGCAGGTACAGTTGTTGGGAAAGCAGTGGATAATTCTATCAATCTGCTTGCCAATGTTAACCACACAGCTACCTTATTACATGAAATTTTTGCGACACATTAATTTCGCGAGTTTCATGATTTAAAAAAAAATTGCAAAATTAAAGTGACACAAACAGTAAGTGTCGCAAACATAACATGACGCTGTGCTCAATCGGCGACCCTAACACAGGCATGCACTCCAGGCTAAAAATGCTTATGAGTAGAAGCTAAAGGCTGATCAGCAGTATTAGGAATGAAAGGAGAATATAACTAAAATAATTTTTAAATCTCAGTTTCATTTTCCTTCCATTTCTAATAGCCTTATAAAATCTGAAAAAAGTCTCACATAGCACTCTTCATCCGGTGGGTAAATCTCTTTCTGTAAGACAAAACAGATATCAATGAGTAAAGACTTCAACAAGGCCATCCTTAGAGATTCAGGGGTAGTTAGAGGGGAGTCATTTTACTTTGGTATCCTTATTTTGCCTGTTCAACCTCATTTCAATTTCAAAGAACTGTTGAGAGGTCACCAAGGGCAACGCAAGGCAAAAACTGGCATGGTTAAAGTGAGACAACAGGACTATGCCAGTCCTCTTTGGCTCATTTTCACTTAAAAATTCTTTTGTATTTTGTACATGTTGACGAGGCAAAGAAGGCTGATTACCATGTAACAAAAGAATAATAAACTGGCTGCCATTTTGGAATATGGTGTATAAAAGCAAGCAGTCTCACAAGGAAGTCTCTCTATTGCTTGAAAATCCACGGAGAAGAATGAAAAACACTGAACAAATGAGAATGGCTGCGTGTCGAAGCCACAAATCACAAGAAGCATGGGCTTTGCTGTTTGCCTCTGCTCTTCCCTCATGGATTTTTGAGCAAAAGAGAGACTGCTTGCAGAGTACTTCTGTATAACTTAATTCAATGTTTTGACATTTCTTCATGGTAACTTTTACTTTAGGGAATAAGGTTTGCTTGAATCAGTGAACACATTTTGAACTAAAGTATGCTTAAACTTAAAAATATTCTCAAGGATACCTAGTCACTTTAGTCCACAAAACGTAAATTATTAAGCACTTATGAACCCCAGGTAAAATGAACTTTTGAATGCTTATACCTATAGATTACCTCACCGAAGGAAGCAAGGCAAAATAATAAGTAACTATGCAAACCTTTTTCTGTGTCATGTACTCTTCATATGACCCAGGAAAATTAAAGTAAAGGAATACTGCCACAGGAAAGAACACATACAAAACAATCTGGAAAATAAAATGAATGTTAGAGTGTTATTTATTTAGCTATTTATTACTAATAATTTATTTGTTTACTAATTCTAAATAACTTAATATGGTCTGAGAGATCATATAAACAATGAATGCTGCCTGTTTCCCACCCAATCAAGTTCACACCCTCCAAGTTCACTCCCCTGAATTAATCATAAACTTTCTCTTTGAGTTTGCCTCCACCTTTTTTCAAGTTTGCCCCATCTTTTCAAGTTGACTTCCATGAAGTCTGAGAAATATATAACAGCCAAACAAAACCACACATTGTTTTAACAAAGTATATATATATCTTATTAGATGTTTTGGTGCGTAGTATCGCTGTATATTTTTACGAATTGTGCCACATTTTGACGACCCTGTAGGGCGAGTCAAAATACAAACACCGAGTAAAAATATATAGTGATACTACACACCAAAACATCTAATAAGAGATTTATTATCCAACTGCTGCAGACGATAAATTTATCCGTGAAAGAGGGAGAGTGTGACAGTGTTGCGTGCGCGTGCTGACCTGTGTGGCAAACAGGTTTTCTACTGTACAAATAACTGTACAATATCGCTGCATATTTACACTGTTATTTGGACGGGATTCGATACAGTTGGATAACAGAGTCACTTATTGACATTGAATTTTTATTATTCAGATAGTTTGATATTCTTTTGTTATATATTGATCAAGATACAGATTGATTCAAGATATTTAAGTTTAACAGCACATGGTAGCAAACTCAACCAAGCTGAGGCGAACTTGAAGGCTAGTTGAGTCGATGCGAGTGTGAACTCACTTGGGTGCGAAACATCTAGCTACCCAAACAGTAACTGGTCATAATAGACCTTATCATGATTTTTTCATGAATATTATCCAGCTCTGTTGGAAACAATAGGCCCTTTGCAGGATCCGGTCACATGGTATGGAATTAATTATGCTGGGACGTAAGTTACACGGTGGGACTTTCAAAACAAAGGAAAGTCGGGTTGGACTGGTATGAGTTCCTTTGTTTTGAGAGTCCCACTGGGTAACTTGCGTCCCAGCAAGATTAATTCCGTACCATGTGACCGGATTGTGCAAAGGGCCTATTAACAAACATTAGTCAGTTGGGGAGAAAGTTTCAAAATTTAAAATTTCAATAATTTTTTGTGCCAAAAATGAAAATATTAACCAAACTATTGACTGAAATAATAAATATAGCTCCACTCCTTCAAAGAACATACGCATCAACTTGTACTTTCCCTTTCAACACCAATTTTGGACGTTGATTGACCTACTAGTAGCTAAAATTATCCATAAAGCTACCAAAACGAAAGGAGTATTTGTAAAAACATTACCCGGCCTAACTCTATCTTCGATCCGATCGCCATCTTGGACAAGGCTGCGCGAGAATCGTTTTACGCATAAATCAAGTGAGGGTCATCCGCTGATAATAATGGTATGAATTTGAGCCCGTGGTATCTCCGGACATAAACATGGCTGTCCCAGTCGGAGTTCCATCCCTTTCACAGGTTTGTGTTGTCTTTCCTCGTGTATTGTCTAAGAATATCGTGATTGTAATATTTTGCGTCAGTCATCCATATTTCCTCTCATAATATGTTTCTGGTTTTACGAGATTTCTGCAATTTTACACCCGATTTTCAAGCTTTGCTTTGCTACTATTTGTGGATTGAAATTGATTTGATGGGCGACTTGTGAAAATTGAAAAGACACATGACAAGGTTGTTCCTTGTTCATTCATCAAACATCGGATTCCGCTAGACTTTTCGCTATGACTTTAAAATACGCTTTGATACAGCTCAGTATCGTGAACTAAGCTGCAGTTTTGCTTATGAACGAACATTCGGTATATTAATCGAGTACAAGCTGCAAAGTTGTTTTCATTGCCTATTTCTCATGAAATGTACAAAACGGACCTCGAGAGTAAATCACAGCTCATTAAACACGACTTTGCCACTGCGCAAATTTCGATTTCTTCTAAATCATCGAGGTTCTTGCGCGTGACAGTTGACTTCAAATCGTGCCCTTTACATAGGTAGAATTTCTTAGATGTTATCTTTATAGTTGAGGAACAAACGTGCATTCTATTTAATTACCTTTCGTGGCAATTATTTTATTTGTAGCTGTCAGCGGGACATGCAACTGTCTATGAGAATTTCTTTAGACAGGTAAGTCATTTATGATCTGAATCAACAGCCTGACTGCTGCTTATGTTTTTATTTCTCGTAACTTCTGTGTACAAAGTTCTTAGTTTTAAGCGCTTCCACTTTTTGTAGATCTCCTGTCAGTTTTAATTTACTAGAAGAGCTGATACTCTAATAAAGTCTTAATATAAAATACATGACAGATTTGTTACATTAGATTTTACTTATTCAAAATATATGTTGATGTTCTTTTTTGACAAAAGTTGGAAACAATTTGAGGAAAGCAGGGCTGTTGTTGTCATGTCTTGTGTTACACTTGTAATGAATCTTAAATAGATTAACGAAAATTAATAGTTAAGAAGTAGAAATTGTAGCATGTGGTCTACATTGGCTGATGCAAACACAAAAGGAAGTGTGGTAGAATTTGAAAGCTTATTTTTTCAACTTCAAAGCAGATCCCTTGATTAGAAATTCAGTGTAAGCATCTTGTAAATTTAGTTACAGTTGTATTTCCTTATATTTACTTAGAATTTGTGATGGAAAGTATTAGCAATGTAACTATGTTCCCCTAAATACATAAATAGCATAAGCTTTTATGTTTTTGTTTCTTGAAAATAAACTTGTTTGACAACAGGCGGATGTGTCAAATACTGGTCAAATAGGAGCGTCTGATGCTGCGGCTTTCCTGAAGAAATCTGGTTTAAAAGAAGGAATTCTTCATAAGGTCAGCATAGCTGTTTGCTACAGTTAGGGGTGGAGAATAGTAAAATGCAGGGCTCGCCAATATACTAACCAATTGACAATTTTATAACATAGCCGAGGAGGTGAACTCAATAAAGCTGAGTTTACAAATCTAGTAAGTGGCTTGGTAGAGGATTTGAACTAGGGATGTCCAGATTTCAAATTCAGTGCTGTTCACTGCAGAGGCCTTATGTGCCATTTGACATGAAGAAGATAGATGAAGGCCCCTAGAAGCATTGCCAGACTGCCTCCACTTACAGGCGATTATGCATTATAAAAGTTTCTTTCCCCTGCCAGCTAACAGTTTTTATGTTCTCGTTTAACAGATATGGGAGCTGGCTGATCCACAAGGGACCGGATTTCTAGACAAACATGTAACTACAAGAAACATTTCCTAACATAATTTTAAGGTTGCTTGTATGGGGAAAAACTGCACTTCCTCAGAAGGAGGCTCAAAGACTTCAAATTCGCTTAGTAACTTTCCATAAACAATCACTATTGAAACTATGGGCAGTCAGGCCAATGTATTCTGATCACTTTTGACAGTAGATTTTACTATTGCTTGCCTGCTACTGCATCCCAATATATTGATAGTTCAATGATTCAATGCAGTCTTATTACAAAGCTGTGAAGAAGTCAGTGTTTATGGTATCAACATTGAAGTCTTCCAAAGTAAAATGTAACATTCAACTCTTTTCAACTGACAGCGATTTTTCTTGGCTCTGAGACTGATTGCCTTGGCACAGAATGGTAAAGATGTTTCCCTAGCAAATCTTATGTTGCTTGTACCAGCCCCCAAAGTGGTAAGTGGACGCTATTTTGTTCGAGTGTGTCTTTTGGATCATTTTTGTAATTTATTATTTTGTCTTCTTCTCCTGCTGGTGTTGACTTCAGAATATAATTTATTTACTGTCAGTATAAATTTACTATACCACACCCCTATTGGATGACCCTTTTGGCACCTTATGGAAGCACCCCATACCTAATATGTGCCTTCTCTCCAATAAGTGTCCTCCCTTGAGCTGACTGACTTATTTCTTTAGGCCTTAGGCATCCTCAATGTTGCACCAGCAGAATCTGTTTGTTATCCTCCCTTAAACTACCAAAAGGTTACTAATTAGCACCCCGGGTACTAAATTGAATCATTTCAGCACTCAAATCTCAAATTCATCCTTGATATCCCTCCATTCAAGTGTATGTGAAGAAAATACGGCGCAGATAATTTTTTGTATTCTCATCACCTGTCTGCTGATACTGTGTTGATAATGTAAGGAGAAATTAGTTGTTGATCACTATAATCTCAGGAATTAAAGGATTATGTCTGTATAAATCCCTTTACTTTATCCTTATTACAGTAAATGTTACAACGTTTACAGGTTTCTTTTTTTAATTTATAATTGTCTAGGGTGATATGATGCCCCCTGCTGTACCTCCCCCACAAGAGAGCACACTATGGGCAGTGAAGCCAGCAGAAAAAGCCAAGTACGACAATATTTTTGAGGTAGGTTAACTTTCCCTTGTTGTCTAATTTAGGTTGTTGATTCTTTTATAAATAATTTTTGTTAAATATATTAACTTTATAATATGTCCTGTGATTTTAGGGGCTAAAGCCAGTTAATGGTCTGCTTCCTGGAGATAAAGTGAAGCCTGTAAGTTTCCCTCATATATTAATTTTATTAACATAAATTTTCAACTGACTTATTGTGAGGTCTGGTCAAATTTAATCTCCTTTTTTCCAACTGACCATGGAAGAGACCATTAGCTTGTAAAAAAGGAATGTGACCAATATCCCTCAATACAGTCTGACCAAACAAACTACAATAGTTCAGTGATGACATTTTTTAAGATTTTAGTGATAAAAACTAATATATAGACCCATCTGTTCAAAATTGTTTTCTTCTGTGCAATGTTTTGGAAAAGCAAGTCAAAAGTCTGATAATTTGATAGTCCGTATTGCAAAATTCAGCTGCTTGGGGGACAAACCGCATGGCTCCTTGTTGAGATGGAACAGTTTGCTATATAACAAAAAATATTACCGTCAAACCCCCTATTAAGCGCCTACCCTTGGGGAAATAATAGATGGTCTCTTAAAAGGGGTTCATCGGGAATTTGCACAAGGTTTGGTAGAAATGTCAATTTATTTACATACAGTCATGCTTGAAGGCAATATAGAATCATGTGAAGACAATAATAAATGTGTGTGTGAATGATTTTATCAGTGGTCACTTTCTATTTCAGACTCTTATCTATCATCCCTTTTCCAAAACAAAACCAAAGTTTTGGGGTGGTCCTTTTGGGGTGGTTGCGCAGAGCTTGACGTTGTGACCGATTTTTTTTCACTGGCTGCTAACTTTTCATGCTTTTGACTGAAATACTTGTACTCGCGACTAAATCTGAAAACTTGGAGGCGAGCTGGCCCCAAAGTTATTTCCTGGAAATCAAGCCCTGTTGCAGTGGAAAGCCTTTATTGGGATGAATAAAAAGTGGCCACGGCCGCTTAATAGAGGTGACCAGTTAACAGGCTAGGGTTTTATTTACGGTACTTTACTGACAACAAGTTTGGGACTTTGATAACTGGCCACTTAACAGTGAGTGGTTGCTTAACAGGTGGTGGCTTAATAGAGTTTTGGCTGTATATTAAGGCAAAAAGAAAACTATAGTCGAACCTTTGGTTGCAACCACCTCTCCTCAGTTACCAGTTTTCCAAAATACCAAAAGTTTCCCAGTCAAATCACTATATTCAGAACGTCTTGTAAGCGACCACCTCTCATAAGCGAACGCGACCACTTTTAGAGCTAAAGTTTTCCATTGTTTTTAACCTCCTGTAAGCAACCACTTGACAGATAATAGAGAAGAAATTGGATGATACAATGTTGTGACATTATGATATTCATGGGTAGTATAAGAGACAGAAATTTCTCAATGGGAAGGGCTGGATTTTGTTATCAAAATTGACTTTTCACATGAACTGAAACATTGCATTGGCATTGGCACATGGGGTAAGTCTCTGCAGTACCACATTCTAGTGAGGCAAAATTTTGATCCAATATGGTCTTGACTCTCGTAAGCGACCACCTCCAGTAAGCCCTTACGGGAGGTTCAACTGTAATTATAATGGTAATTTTGATTGCATCTTAGGTACTATTGAACTCTAAGCTTCCCATTGATGTGCTTGGTCGGGTCTGGGAGCTTGCTGATATTGACAAAGATGGCATGTTAGACAGTGACGAATTTGCTGTGGTGAGAACAAAATTATATAATATAAATTCATTAATTGCTGGCCAGAAAATGTAACTTTAAGGTAGCCCATTAATTAACCTTAAGATCCAATTCATTTTAAAAGTTCAAATTAACTTTAATTATCATTTTTGCTAATTAAATATTTCACTCTCACTCATCTGTGTTGTGTTCCCCCAGTTTCCAAGAATTGGGACCATCTTGTATCTGTCTGTGTTTTATATAATTTGTATTTTTGACAAATAGATTCCATGTTGCTGTTCATTTGTTTAGTAATAGATCACAGATGACGTCAAAATGTGGTAAGAACAGACGTACAGCAGCATGGAATCTACTTGTTTTATATGATAAAGAAACAAACAGAATGTTTATCACATCATCTATGTGTCTGTCCACCAATAGATCATAAGTAAGAACCAATCAAACTGCAAGAATAATTTGACTTATTACGTAATTGAATTGTAAGTATGTGAGAAATTAATATTTAGTTGATTTTGATCCACTTTCTGTAAAATTGTAGGCCATGCATCTGGTGTACCGTGCTCTGGAGGGAGATCCAGTTCCTCTCTCACTTCACGGCAAAGTCATTCCTCCTTCAAAAAGGAAGTTAAAAGTGTCGTCATCTGCGCCTTCATCGCCATCTCCTAAGGGACTCACTCCACCCTCAGTCAGCAGTTCAGTTCTCTCTGTCACTGTGAGTTGAACAGTTTTTGCAAAAAAATGATCTCATTAGCACATTTGTATAATGTGTAAGAGAAAGCTAACTGAATCGCAGTTGAATCTTTGCTTAAGACCTCCTCTCTACAATGGCCAGGGTTCTTCATCCCAACCATGCACCAATAGCCACCTCTGCACATTATCGCCATTCATTATCCCGCCATGGGATGCATGAGGTCTCTAGTCTTTCCCCAGTGGGAGTTCCAGTTCAGGTGCATGGAGTTGAATCTGTACAATACAGAGTGGTCATTGTAGGTGTAGATGATGGTTGTAGCTTTCAAATTGTCTCTATTTTTTTCTTTTTTTAATGCAGTTGTTTCATTGCACAAGAGGCTTACAGTTGCAATTATCATGTATTTAGTGTAGACAACTTGTGTAGCAGATGCAGTAACCTTTAGAATCATACATTGAAGTTAGTGCCCTGGACTCTCGATGAGTCTGTTGTGTTCTTTGGAAAGACTGTGTATTCTCACAGTACCTCTCTCCACCCAGTGAATAAACGAATATAACAGTCTGGCAAATTTACTGCTGGCGGTAACTCTGTAATGAGCAAGCATGGCATCTGAACTTGGAGAGGAAATAAGCACTGGCCTGATGGCCCTCTGGTCTTGAATTCAGACTTTACCTGTCTACTGTGAAAATTAAAATAATATCTATATTAATCATTATAATTGTAATTATAATTATTTCAATTTCAGACCCCACAAGAAACTACTTGGGTGGTTACTAGTGCTGACAAGTTGAGATATGATGCCATGTTCAAGCAAGCCGATAAGGATGCTGATGGACTTGTTTCTGGTATTGATATTTATTCTAATAAGTTTGAAAGATTATTACAATGGTTTTGAAGAGGCAGATTGAGACCCTGATTCAAGTGCTATCTTATTTGGGGATTTCAAGGAGATCTCTGAATACCCCGGGAGCAGTTGTGTTTTGTTCACCTTCTGACGAAAGGGAGAAATTGCTGAAAATCTCTGATAAAACTGTTTAGCATGTAAACTTATGCTGATGTCTTCTGTCTTGTAGGAGAAGAAGTAAAGAGTATCTTCATGGCTTCTGGATTACCACAGCAAGTTCTTGCTCACATTTGGTAAGCCAGTCTTCTTTTTTCTCCTCCACAGAGGCCAAGATGAGACTGGCGCATTATATTTCCTTCTACCAAGTCTTCCCACATGCTCTTGTATGCAAATGCAACAAAAGCCTTTGCCAAGAGAGAGAGAGAGAGAGAAAGAGACTAATACAAGACTCCCTTGTTTATTATTTGCAATTGAATTAAAGTTTATCAGATTTGGGCAGAAACACTTGTCTGCTTGTCCGTGCTGTTACTTTTTCTTTTGTGGCATCTCTTGAGTAATGTGCAGTTCCAAAAAAAATCCATGCTCCCCCCACAGAAGGGAATGGAAGTTCTCTAAGACCAAAAAAATTAAACAAATGTATGACTTAATTGGAATTGTTAGAGGGGTTGGGGGACTTTAAAATCCCTTCTGTGGGGGAGGTATGGATATTTTCTGGAACTACACAATACTGTACTGACAGACAGTATTGTAAGGCATATTGACTGTACTGTTTATTGGATCCATTGGCATGATATATTGCACTGTATTGAAAAAGTTTGACTAACGCTCAGCGCTATTTGTTTGAATTTTAAGGGGGCTCTGTGACATAACAAACCAAGGTCGCTTGAATTCTGAGCAGTTTGCCCTGGCTATGTATCTTATTCATCAAAAGGTCATGGGAGCTGATCCCCCTCAGACCTTGAGCCCAGAGATGGTGCCACCTTCTATGAGGAGTGGAGGTGCTGTTACTCCTGCAGGAGGAGAGGAGAGGGTAAGATTCTTTTTTTCTCAAGAGGGAAACCTAAATGCAGTTTACTTTGAGTTATTGTTTTTCCATTTTTTTTCTCAAGTCAAGTAATCTGCTACCTCTTCAAGGAAGCAGGGATGGCACAGTGGTCAGAGCGCTTGCCTCTCACCAATGTGGCCCCGGTTCGATTCCAGCCCGGAGCCATATGTGGGTTGAGTTTGTTGTTGGTTCTCGCCTTGCTGTGAGGGTTTTTTCCCGCGTTCTCCGGTTTCCTCCCTCACAAAAGCCAACATCTGCAAATGTCAATTCGACCAGGTTAGAGGACCTGCATGGAAACCAGCTATGGCTGATCCTCTCTAAATGTTGTAATTTATTTATTATTTTATTTATTTTTTTTAATTGTTGAAAACTGTAAGTGGCTCTTGCATGTAAATTCACCTCCCTAATTCCTAGACCTGATTCTCAAGATGGTGGAACTGTGAATTTGGTGACACTTCTTTTTTTCTCGGGACTAGTCTGTGACAATGTATTGATATTGTAAGGAGAAAACAGATCTTTATCACTCTTAGAAATCAAATGGTAGCAAGGTTTGGTTTTTGTTGAACAGGAAGGTGCAGGTGCCGGAACAGCAATTTCAGCCCTAAGTGATTTTTCTGCCATCAAAGAACTTGACAAAATAACCAAAGAAATAGAGGAACTAGGAAGGTTAGTGTATTTGGTTATTTTGGTCTGCTTATAATATGTAGGATAATATTTGTACCTATAGTCTTGATAAAATTTTATCTGCAATGTAAGTTAATATATTTTACCTACCATGCTAAAAAAAGAATATAAACAACTTTTTCATTTTACTACTGAGCTTAAAACTCCCTCATTTATCACCATTCAGTACACTCTCGATATTGCTGATCCTAGCAGTATGTAGGACACACGTCGATATGTGAACATAGTACATGGACATAGTGCCTGCTTGATGTCAAATTTGTGAGGTATTGGGTTTAAATGCCATTGAGGAGTCAGATTTTTTCTCAATGAACATCATATCGTTCACAAACTTGCCCTTAACCTTGAACTTGATTCTTATTCAGAGAAAACTGCCTGTCACAGTGCAGTGTAATATCTTTAAGGGAGATTCAATAAAAATCTGCAGTAATATGTGGTGAAATCATTTTTTTCCAAGCACCTTTAATTTTATTATTTTGTTCTTGTCAATCTCATACTTTCTGTTGACTGTTTTGATAGGGAAAAAGCCAGTCTACAGCATGAAATTGAAGAAAAAGAAGACACAATCAGGCAGAGAAATGGAGAAATACAAGTACGTAGTCATAGTCTACATGTTAATTGTTGACATGTATTTTATCAGATCACCACATCCTTCTTCTTCAGTGTTGTATGAATTCTACCATATTACTGGTTACAGGACCTAAAAGAGCAGAGTGGGTCTTTCACATGCAGGCAATAAAAAGGGAACTTAGATATACAATAGGGCGACTCGAAATAGGGATTCTAAAGAGAGCGGCTTAAAAAAAGGCAGTTAAAATAGAGGGATTTGAAACAGGAGTAGAAAGAGAGGGAGGCTAAATTGAGAATTTTATGTTCTTTTATGTTTTTATGTTCTTCTTTGCAGAATCTACAAAGTGAGCTTGAGAAAACCAAATTAAAATATCAGGAATTGGAAAAACAAAAAGCGGAGTCGCAAGGCAAACTGGATGATTTAGACAAAGACGTAAGATAAGTCAATTGTAAAGTTCGGTTTTTGTTGTGTTTGTTTTGTCCTTGTTACTCTGAGGACCCTCAGCTGCTTTGTGGAGAGCAGCGTTGTGTGACAATCCATGTGATGCTACAAAGGAGCTACACATTCCCCAAAGTCACGCACTGTTTGGCAGATTAATCAATTTTCTCTTTGTTTTCTTTCTTTCTTTACCAGAAAGCCAAATTAGAAGAAATGTTAAAGGACATGAAGCAGAAATGCGATGAAGAAACAAAAACGGTGAGATTTTATTAAACAACTACTGAGCGGCGTTTAGTTTTTTGATAGAGTATGATCACAACTGCAGGATAAAACTGTTAAAGTGTATATATGTAGAATACTTGATTCTTTTTCATACTTCTCTCTTCAGATAAACAGTTTACAGGCGCAAATCTCAAATTCAAGGAAATCTGCCCTGGTGAGTAGAAATCTCTGACTTCTTCAAACTACAGTTCACCAAAACTGATACATGGACTCCAAAATTAGTTGTCTACACCCAGTTAACAGAGAAGGGGCTTACATGTAGGGTTATTTTCATCCCAACCCCTTCAACTCAAAACCTTGGGTGTAAGAGACTCCAAGGGGACACTGAGTTGGTTGGCATTTTAGGCCTTGGCTTTTTCTAATGCTACTAAATCTCTGTCATCAGCTTTTAACGACGAAAGATGTTTATATGTCCCTTGACTTAGAAAGGTGTGGCTGACAATGTTATCATTACGACATTACTGTACACACGTCTTGTCGCATTGTGTGAAACAGCAGCTATAAACCTTGTGTTATTTTGTGATCTTCAATCTGAATTTTCGTATAACTAAAATAACATTTTTTTTTTTGAAAAATATTTAAGCAACAAGAAGAAGAGCTTAGCCAAGCTAGGGACGAGTTGAACAAGATTAGGGAAGAAGAAACAAAGCTTGAACGAGAAGTAAGTTTCCTTGGCTTCTCTTTAGTAGGAAATAATAAAATCTTGTTTCTGCTTCTTTCACGTAGAATAATTGTTGACGATCTTTGAAACATTTGGGCTTTTTGTTCATAGATCGAATCCAGCAAAGAGCATCTCGAGACTGTACAAAAACAAATTAAATCTGTTCAAGCGGAAATTTCGCAGGTAAGTTACTAACATTGCAAACAGAACCCCAACTTTTCAGTTATGACCGTATAGAAAAGAAAGCAAAAGAAGAAAGAAGGGTACGAAAAATTTCGTTCGTGGCCCATTCCGCGTATCAATATCGACAAAGCTGTTGCAGTCAAAACAAATGCATATTTTCAAGCCACAAACCTCAGATGAACCAAATGCTTTTGTTTAGTCTCTCGAGACGTACAGTTTAAAATGTGGTTGTTTTAATGTCTTTCTTAGGCTAGATCGAAGGTGTCCACTTTGGAAGAAGCAAACAGTAGTTTAAACGCGAATATCGCTCATTACAATTCGCTGATGAACTCTAACAGCTTATCCAGTGGTCCAGCCTCCATTCCAGATTTTAGTCCTCTCTCTGATGCGTTCGACATGACACCGACTCCTTCAGAAGCGGATGCAATGAGTGTCAGAGCGACGGTGAGTTCTACAAACAATTTACCGTAACACATAGCTTTCTTACTCGAATTGTTATCTTCTTATGTCTGTTGTAAAACTAAACCCAAAGTTGCCACTTTGTCGGCTAAAAGCACAGTAAACCAATCAGAACACAAGGTTTAATCTGGCAACCAATGGCAGCCACTCAGAAAATCACGTGTTTTAAAAGGGAATCCACCAGAAGTTCGAGTAAAAAGTGGACAAAAACTTTGTACTGGGATTTTGACATCGTTTCTCTGAACTTTGAAATTTAGTTCCCATGGGAAATTGTTTTTGGTGTTATTTCAGGAAAGTTTTTACGTCTTAAACTTTCAGAAAATGCAAAAAGGACTGTAAAATACTTAAAACTATTGTGGTACAAGGTTTTTGTCCACTAAAACTGAAATTGCTCGATTTACTATCGCATGTCGTGATAATTTTTAACCTGATTAGTCGAAAAGACACCATCTTTGCTTTGCTAGACTGAGCACAGGGCGCCAGTTTTGTGAACCATCCTCCTTAAATACAACACCACTGTTGTCTAAAGGCTGTAAACCACAGACAATCTCAAACTCAGCATCACATTGTTTTCTTTTCCTGACTTTTTTTAGGCTGGAAGCAGCCCTGTTAGTAGTATAAGCGGTTTTAGTGTTGGATCTGGTCGAGTAGACGAAGCTGTAGATGATTTTAAGGTAGGTTTCAAATTGGAATTTTACACTCAAATTTTACTAATGGAATTATTAACAGCCGTTTGATTAGACTTGTCATTTTGGAAAAAAACTAGAGTTCGGAGAATTAAAGGAAATACTTCACGGTTTGCTCAACTTGAAAAGTTAAGCACAAATCTTTCAAGTTCGTCGTTTGTAATCCGTGCTAATCTTCTCTATCCTCAACCATGCTTGTTCCTTCGTGGCTTATTATTATCTCTTTGCTGTTTCCCTATCTTAGTTAAGTATTATTTTCAGGTTTCCTTCAATTTAAAGGTAATTTTGTACCAGACCAAAATAACTGAAAATACCGTGAGTGAACTCCTTTGAGTTAACACGTATCCTCATTCTTCTAAATTTTTTTTTTCAGGATACAGATCCCTTCAAGAGTAAAGAAAATTTATTTAGTTCCTCAGAAACAGGTAACCTTATTTTCCTTTCCTTTAATTCCTATTTTCTCTTGTACGACTTTGAAGTGCTGCATGAAATAACAAAACCGAAGCAGAGCCACCTTTATATAACGAACAATTGTGGAAAGTTTGGTCTTGTTATTTTTATAATAATATGTTTGACTTTAATTTGAAGTCAAAACTCATTTGACATGTGTTCTCTTTCAGAATCTAATGACCCTTTCCATGTAGACGACCCTTTTAAAACAGATCCGTTTCATTATAAAAGTGTATCCTTCGCAGACCCTTTCCCAGGAGATCCATTTGAGGTGAGAAGACTCCAGTGAGTTGTTAAGATAATGCTTTCTTGGTTAACTGCCTCATTTCGGGATTCTTCGGTCAAACTCTTCAATAGACCATATTCGTATCCTCGGTGCTGGACTGGAACTACATTGAATCTTGAAAAAAAGTCCTTGGGACACTGATGTACAGGTTAATGCAACGAATTGTCTGTGTTTTACAACTGAAGTTCGACAAAGCATAGCCTGCGATCGCAGACGACATGCGCAAATACGTCTGCGTTTTCAGGCTAGAAAGAGCACTTTTAAAAACACATTGCTGTTGCCCGCCCCGCCCCCCCGCCACCGAATACAATATTGAAACTCGGGAGAAAATGTAAATACTAGTTTTCAACATTGTATGTGGGCTGGGGAGGAGAGGCTAGGCAGGTGAAGTCGTATTCGCGTCTGGCTCGTGTGCAAAAGTGCCAAAAGTGCAAATTTGTCCCGAGACTTTTGTCCATGATCGTAGCTTGTAACTGAGGCTAATGCCAGCTTTTTTTCAAATACAAATGGCATTAATCTCTTTTTAATGATAGTCCCCCGCACAAGCCTTCATTGCAAGCTAGTTTCAGTCCAATACCGAGAATACGACTAAGACCTCTTGGTAAGTGGAGCAAAGTTTCAAACTTGACTGAGTTTTGTGTTCTGTTTATCAGGGTGATGATCTCTTCAAGAGTGACCCTTTTAAGAGTGATTTACCAGCGAGTGGAGAATCAAATGGTACTGGTTCAGGAATAGCGAATGGTGATTTAATAGTTTAATATTTATTAACATGTTATTGATCATTTTTATTTCCATTACAATAATTTGTATGGAATTTTCGAAGCATGTTGAAAAAAATTAAAAAGAAAACATTCTATTTGTAATCTAGTCACGATGAAACCTGCTGTCAAATGAAGATACTAACTGAAACCTGTCAAAAATCGATTTCTTTAAATGCGAGTATCGCGTGGCTTACTATTTTATATTTCTCTCTTTTTGCTTGACGAACTGAGGGGAAAGAGTCCTCCAGTTCTGGCTACTTCTGTGTCACGCAACGCTACGTTCAGGCCCTCTCTCTTTAGCGTGGCGAGACAGAAAAACTACTCCTGGCCTTAGCGAGAGCAAAGAGATCAATAGAAACTGATTTTTGATGATAATTTTGTGAACGGGGCATTTTTAAGTTGGCTTGACTTTTTTTTGCTTTTTGTCCTCCAGGTTTATCGTCTTCACCAGCAAAATCAGATCCCTTCGCCATGGATCCTTTTCAAAGTACATTTCCTAGTAGCAAAGTAAGTGTATATTTGTTGTCGTACATACTGAGGCAAGTTTTCTTGCCCGCAGCGGCTCGAAGTTACACTTACGTTTTTCTTAAATAATCATGAGCAATAGTGCAAATTCAAAATAAATCATTAAGTTAGTCGACTTTCTATTTCAATACTCTTTCAAGCTCGTTCACAGACTGTTTTAGTTGTCTGTCAACTGCTTTCGTTGAACTCGTGTGCTTTTGAATCAGAGCCGACACTTTCTATGTTGGACTTGACATTGCGTTGAAGTAAAATTTTGGTAGTATTTCAAATAGTCTTAGTGTTTTAAGCAAAAACTTGGATACAAATGGAAAATCGAAAGAATAAAGTGGAAATGAATCATCCCTGCGTAATTACTGCTATCAAGGATCGCTCACTCTCTGTAGAACATGAATTGGTTCCCGCGCAAAATTAATACAAGCAATTAACACTTACCTTCAGTTCAATGTTCTCTTCCTTACAACATCCAAGTACACTTCCAATGTACAGTGGTCATTGCTCCAGGAACATTTTATCGCGAGCTATCGACTCACTTTGAGAAAACATATCATTGTAGTGAAATTGCAGATTTTGAAAAACTTCTCTTTAAAATTCACAAGTAACACTTTTATCCGTCAAAATGGTATAACTCTTGATCCTCAGACCATAGTATTATGCAAGAAATTTGCGAGCACAGTTTAATTGAGGGAAAGCTGGTATCACTTTAAAAGCGACTGTTTCACTTTACGTTTGTTGTTAACTTGGGATCGTTTCGTGTGTGCTTCATTATAATTGATCATGTCCTGTCTTTTTTGTTGTTGTTTCAGAGTCCGACAGATAGCTTTTTCAGTTCAGATCCGTTTAAACCATCTGGAAGTAGTTCGGATTCCAAGAAAAACACTGATAACTCACAAGAAAAGGATTCGAGTCCTGTTAAAGATCCCTTCAGCAATCCCTTTGGTTCTGATCCGTTTGGTAAGTCTTCATTATTTACCGTAGAACTATTTTAAGCACTCCACCGCACCCCAACACCTTTGAGGGGTTAGTTTTAGGGTTCGGGGTAACGGGAAGCCCGGGGGACTCTCATATAAAATGGACTAGCGTGCTCGTCGGAAATTTTGAAAAGAGACCTTAAGAGGTACCAAGATCCTGTTTTGTGGGCGTGGCTTGAAATTTTTTTCACCCCTAAGAGGTACCAATTCTAAAACAACTCATTATACCTGTAGAAAGGTGCCGCAAAAGCGCTCGCTGTGGAACTTTTGATGCTGAACACCCTAAGAAGTACCAAAACTGTGTTTTTAGCCCCTGAAAGGTACGACAAGCACCCCCCGTCATTTTTATATGGGAGTCTTCCCCGGGGTGGGGAGAGGGGGTTATTTGAAATTGTTATTCTAATAGCCTTCCTGCTATTGAGTTACCGACAAGGGAGAGGGGGCTGCTTTGGAAATAACTGAATTTTTAGACGGGGGTATAGAAGGAGGGAGTTAATAGAGCTTTTTAATGGTAAATGTCTTATTACATATTTAGTTAGCTCTGAGCTGAGAATGCTGTGGTGCATCAAGGCAGTATCCCTTAGTTGATGATTTTCGTTTTTCTCGTCACCTTTCTTCTTGATAGCGTGTTGATTTTGAAAGGAGAAAATAGATGTTGGTCATTCAGATTTATAATCGTTTTATTACCATTTGTTGTAGGGTCATGATGAAGCGTGATCGACTGAAGATAAAAACGACGAAATGTTTAAAATCGAAATATGAAGAGAAGCAATGTCTGAAGAAGATTATGGCTTTTACCGAGTCCCGTGCTTCATAGAGTACCACAAATAAAATGTCAAGTATATATATAGAAAATTAATGGCAAAATTGCTTTTCCGATCGAAATCCCTTTCAAGAAATTGTTCTGAGCCCGCGATTTTCCTAAGAGGTTGCTAAGTTACGTGACGTGTCCTTGTGACGTCAGGCTGTCGTGGCAGCTGTCGGTGCGGTCGCGAGTATTCGTGCAGCTTTCTGATTGGCTTATTAGACTTGAAAACGCTACAGATAATTTGACGAAGATTAACTGAATATGGTCGGTTAATTTCTCCGTCCGCACAATGCAAGCGTGTTTGTATTGTTATAAAAGAAATAGAGAGTGTTTAGGTCGCGCATGGTTTGTGAAATACTGGAATTTTGAAAGTTAACACGGTTAATGGAGCATTATACGTAAATGTATTCTTTTTATTAATAATATTCATTTAAGCACTACTGCCACGTTTTCTTCTATGTAGTTTAACGCAATCTAGAAATCAAAGTTGCTTCCGTCAAGCTAGTCAGCCTAGAAGGTTATTTATTTGCACTGATGTGTAAGCGTTTATTCAAGGGTATCTCTGCGGAAAAGAAGGTGCTGTAGTAGGCTAGCAGTAACCACATCAAACGTCTGTAAAGTGAACATTTAGCTAGACTTCCTTTCTCTTTCTGTTCTGAAGAATAATGATCAGTAGCCTTAGAGCAGGCTCTTCGCGAAGAACTACTCACAGGCTAAATAATTAGTTAACAATTTTGTTGAGGTGTAGCCGAGCGTTCCATCATAAGAAAACCGCTTCTTAGACTCGTCCAGGTATGGAGGAGATGGAAAATAGCTAGTTTTGCCCGTCGAAATGCAATGGAAATTTTATGAAATTACCGTGCATATATATATAGACGTGTGCCCCTTACTTTGTTGTTTTTCGTTATTTTTTCTTCATCATTCTCAGTTAACCCAAGAAACAGTGTACTCCTGCACAGAGTGTAGTTCGTTCTTCAAAAGCAATATTGTGTTTTCAGACTTGTTTAAAATTTATACATAGGTAATCCTCCTCAAGTTATTTTTACATCACTGTCAGCTTCGGAAATCTCCTGAAATCTTCGGAAATCTTCTGTGACGCAGATTTTGCTCACGTTAAAGCTCCAAGAAAACACTTAACGCAACGCGCATGTTTACATTATCCGCGGAAGAACTGGGTACCATGTCTAAAAATAACTTGAGAGGGATTACGACCTTGGGAATAAGGCCTATATGGGGAATTAACTGTCTCACCTTTCATGCTCTCTTGGAGCCGGTCACTGTTAAATTGAATTGAAATTGAATTGTTACAATATCTAAGTAATTTTTCTCGTGTTCAAGAATAACATTTAATTTGAAGGGAACCTGAAAATAATTGTTTTCTAAGGTAGAAAACTGAAAACACCAAAGAAGTGCTAAAATTAAAGCGAAAATAAACTAGGATGGTCTACAAAGTTGAAAACATTGGTCAATTGTTTTTAAGTTTGCCGTCCTTAAAGTAGTTCTCGGCCAATTTGCAGAGATAACCAGGATTTCAAACGCCTGAAATTACGGAAGATCTCAACTTAGCGGGTACAATGTAACTCTGTTAATACGTACATCTAAGGGACACACGTAATAAACGGAGTCTGTATTGATAAATAGTTGCTCTGCAAGACAGTTTAAAGACGTAATCAACAAAATCTCTGATAGGTTGAATTTCAAAAAGGCAACCATGTAAAACAGTTTACAGCAATTTTATATTTTTTTTTGGAGCTTAATTGATGCAAGTTTTGACCGCGTTAAAATAAAGACTGTATAAATGTAAGTTTGGTCCTCGCAAACGACTGTGTAATGTTGAAAAGCTACCTTACTGACCAAGAAACAGTGTCGATGCTGAGTCACGTGACACAAGTTAGTATTCTAGTTTTGCAGGGTTTCTACCCTTTTTAACGAACAACTTTCCGGGACTTTTCCAGGGCACAGATTGATTTTTCCAGGACTCTAAAATTCACATTAAACATTTCACTCCCAAGATCTCAATGTTAATTCTCCTTACTGTCTGCCATAAATTTCACATTGTTACTTGAGTTTAACAGATTTCCAAAACTTTCCAGGACCAGTAGCCTTTTTCTAGGATTTTCCAGTCTTGGAGAATGCCACAATGAAATTTCAGGACTTTCCAGGTTTTCCAGGACCCGTACAAACCCCGTTTTGCTATGTAACCTATCTTTGAACTTCCACACTTTTCAATTATCTTTTGCAGTGTTATTGTAAAATTTCTTTTAAATTGAATACCGTTTCTTAGTAACAAAGTTTCACTGTCACCTCCACCTCTAAATACTTTGTTTTTAATATCACACGATTATCACATTTTTTAAATTGATGTTTTTGACTTCAAAAATAAATAAGAAAATTGTTTCACCGCTTAGTCTTGTTTAGAACTTTTTCAATTTTAAACAAGCGAGGTAATGAAATAACTTAAATAAAAAAATTGTTTGTAAAGTAAAGGTAGTGGGTGCAGGCGAATGCATGAATGTAGGATTGCTCGCCTGGCCGATCAGGAGCTAAGGCTATTTAACCTCAAGAGTACTTCATTTAACGTTACAATGAAAGAAACGTATAACCTGTTAATATTAAGAAACTTCATTGAACACCATAAATGCAACGATCTTGACGTTAAAATGTGAAATAAATTATAGTAAAGTGAAGTCAGTGTATCTTGTTCTCACGTTTTACATTTAATTTCAACGCAGAAGGCAGTAGATGACAAAAACAACACAAACCGATCGAGGAAAGGTGCGAAGAAATTTTGTTACACGTGTTTTCTATCATTTCTTCTTTGTTTCAAGGCAGGTATTGCTTTTTTTCCCTCGGTCCGTTGCTATGTTGCTGGAAGTAACTTAAAAGTGTTCAGAGTTTCATTAAGTTGTTTTGTTCAAAATCCGGGTGAAACAGTAACTATAAAAACGAGTTGGCAATTCAATGTTCGTCGATTCTTAGCCGAAGCTACCAACGCCATACGTACTTGGCCATCATTTCGTCAAGAAATACATGTAGGGTTGATTTCCAAAGTTTGATCTTATATCTGGTTCATGCCCGGTCCGTTTGGCCTCAACATGTGCTGTGCGAGTCTTCTACGCTCGCTCTCCGCGGATTCGTCTTCCTAATTGAATGGCATCTGGCCTGTTCACACTCTGGCTTTCTCCCTGATTTGCTAACTGGTATCGCCGTATTTCAGTGCGAGCCATTGTGTCAAGTCTGTAAAGGGTCGTCTTTGTTCCCCCGTTGGTAAATCCGTTGACTGTGATCACATTTTTTTGTTGTTCTTTATCCTTCTGCAAAGTATGGACCATCTTTCCAGCAAAACTAACACAACACCACAAAACGGTTGATCAAAATGTTTTGTTTGTGGTGTAAAACAGACGCTTAAAAGTCTTGTGTATCGATAAATGAAATGATTTCATTGGCTGCATGACTAAAACAAGACGCAATCTGATTGGTTTACGAAAACAACAAACAATTTTATTGGTCCGTTAGAATAACATTCAACCCTATTCATTGACTAAAGTCGGAAGAAATGAAGGCGGCCGATCTGATCGAAATAAGTAAACCAGTAAACCACCCTTCAATGAATTCTCTTAACTTATTATCATACTTTTCTTTCAACACCAGTTGCGAGAAGTAGGAGGTAAATCAGAAAAAATATCTCAGTTGATCGCTTCCACAATTCTCGTCATTCGTGAGAAGAAAATTACATACTGATTACCCTTGAGACTACTATGAAAGTTTTATCAATTAATTATCTTTGTTAACGTTTCGATGGGTAGCTAGCCTTTTGTGTCCAAAATCCAGACTGACGCACACTACTACAGTTACCTCGCTTCTCGCCTTCGGAACTCATCATTTTAGTTTTCATGACCGCCCTAAACTTTTCCCAGGACAACAACTCTCCTTTGCTTTTCCTTACG